CATTTATCTCTCTGCCCTTCAGGCAATCCCACTTGTGTTTATCGGCCAGGCTGGCACAATAAACTATCTCATCCCTTAAAGTCTCTCTGGGTCCAGGCCACGCTGCTTTGGACCTTCCTCCTCCCTGTCCCTCACTGTGTCCAGCCGCATGGCCCTCCCGCTCTTCCACGCAGGCTCTGTCTCAGGGCCTTTGCACCTGCTGCTTGCTCTGTCTAGTGGATGCCATTCCCTAGGCTTCCGCGAGGCTGGGTCATGCCATTGGGGTCTCTGCTTAGCGTCCTCTTCTCAGGGAGGTCTTCCCCGAGCACCCCTCGGACCACCCACTGTCACCCTCCCTTCCCTGTGCCTGGTTTCCCCTGTTGTACTTGCCGTGCTGACGCTACAGTACATATGTAGCCGTTTGTCTCCTCCATGAGCAGATCAGGCCCTGTACTGTGCTGGCTTTCGCTGTATCCCCGAGGCTTAGAACAAAGGCTGGCACCTGCTAGGTCCTTCATCCGTGTTTGCCGAGTGAGTGAAGGGACAAAGAGGAAAGGCGAGGAGCTGGAAGTAATTAGCCAGCCAAGTGTCCTGCTTCTATCCCCCATCTGTCTCTGCCAAGAGACACGGGATGCACCTAGAGAGCCTTGCCCCCGTGGCAAATGCTTGCTCGCTCGCCCGGACTCCCTGCAAGGCCAGCACACGGTGAGCATCCAAGGCGTTGCTCAGAGCATCTTCGTTAATTGCTGGTGCATTGGACACAGAAGAGCTTGAGCCCCCAGTCCCTGGAACTCTTTAAGTGTTTGTATCTCCAGCAGAAGGCGAGGCGAAGCGTTTGCCTAGACGTGCACTCTGCCCAGCCCGGGGCTCCTCTCTGGCAGCAGGAGAGCGGGCCTCTCGGGAGTGGGGTGGGTGCGGACACGGCTGCCTGAGAAGGGCTTACGTGTTTGTTCCGTCAGCGTAGCATTTTTGCAGAGCCCGCTGTGTGCTGGGCACTGGGCAGCTGGGCTACAACACGGAGACACGCACGCCCTGGGGCCTGCTTCCCAGGAGCTCGGGCGAGAGGCGGAGCTAGCCGAGGGATCAGGAGGGGCTCTGTCCAACTTGGGGTGGGCTCATTCTCAAAGGCGTTCCCTGGATCAGGGACTGGGTGGTCAGGGCATGCAGCGGAGGGTGGGAAGAGCCGTCTGGGCCGATGGAGCCGGTGTGCAGAGGAAGCTCCTGTGACTGGGAGTTGAATACAAAGGGCTGGGGGCGGGGCAGGCACAAGATGGCACCCCAACGGAGAAGATTGCTTCGGACTACGTAGGGCTGTGACTTCCAGCGTCCGTCTGAGCCTCCCAGATGCGGCTCGTGATGGCGCTGCCCTCAGGGAGTCCCCACAGCCTTCTCTGTCTTGTGAGGACAGGCCACCTCCGCCAGGAAAGCCATTCTGAAAGTGAGCTGCTGCCCGCAGGGCCTTGAAGCTCTGTGCTCCAGGACCTCCAAGAGGGGGTCAGATGGTGCTGGGGTGAGGGGAGCAGAGAACGGGAAGAGAGCGCATACTACGGATGAACCCTGTAGTCTCATAGATCAAGGAGCCTGGCAGCCTGGGTTCTGGGGTGGAGGGAGGCCTTCACCCTTGTGAGTTGGAGGCTGAGTCCCAATCACATTCTCATAATTCATATCGTTCCTCATTATCTCCTCCCATCATCGTGCTGCCTTAACGTTACCTCTTACAAGCTCATGGCTGATGGCTATGTAGCCGGCAGCCTTAACTATAGGAGCCGACCTGTGCTATGGCTCACTAGGCTGAGGACAGCGCTCCCCTTACCTGCCTCCAGACACTGGTGTTAGGTTACTCCTCAGTGTGCTCAGGGACCCTTAGGGTTAGGGTGCAGCCCACTTTGTTACTATGTGGTTACCTGCAATTAGTGTATATTGCAGGTATATACACTAATATATATATAAGCCTTGGTTGAAAATGTAATTTCTCTCTCTGTGGACCTAGCTCCTGAAGTTGCAGTGGTCCTGGAGGCGAGCCCTTACATGCCTTATCTTGTCTGATGTCTCTGTGATTTTACCCCTCAGTTACACAACCGCCCCTCTATTGTTGGGATGGTACCCCCCACTGGGATGACCCTGCTAGGCCTGGTCAGCTTGTCAAGTGGACTCTTGGTTGGCACAGCTGCTTCCCACTCTGGGGGGAGGCTCCGTTGGGGTCTTTGACAGCACCGACTGAGTGGTATTTTCTTCCTCGTTTTTCTATCCACAGTGCAAGATCCCACTCTGGTGCCACTGTCCACCCTCCTGGTGGCTGGAGGAAGCCTGGCCTTGGGCACGTTCCTGTGCATTGGCATTGTGCTGAGGTGAGATGGGTCCTGGGAGATGGCCCCGCGGTGTTTTCATGTTTCTCATTTAATCTCGCTGTGCCCATGACGTCATCAGACACACGTAGACCCCTCATCATTCGTTTAGTCATCCAACAAAGGCCTCGCGTGCATGCACACAGCCCCAGGCCCTGTGTTGGGTGATCTGGGAGACAGTACTGGGCTCCAGATTAGAGCAGACACTCGGTGGTAATGACTCGTGAGGCAAGGGTTAGAGAAAGAGCAGTGTGTGACAAGGAGCCCTGACCTGGAATTAAGGAGGACTAGGGATTGGCCTGGTGGAATAGGAGAAGAAGCGCGTTCCAGAAGAGAGATCCAGACTTGAAGGTCCTTTTGAGTCTGTATGTATTAAGTGTGGGGGTGTGGAGTGTGGGGGTGTGGAGGGAAGAATGAGACTCGTGAGATGGTCGGAGCCAGGTCGAGGAAGACCTTGAAAGAGAAGGCGGCTGTTGGGCCTCCTCTTGATGGTGCTGGGTGCGTGTTGGAGAGTGCCGAGAGGAACCTGCTCAGGTTTGTAGTTTTTAAAAATTTCTTACTGTTGAGACAGGATGCTGGTCCCCCAGGGGCTAGATACAAGATCGTGGGGGTTTCTGCCAGCTCGCGCACTTACGGTGAGCCTCGTGGATGACTTCCAGGTCCCTTTGAGATGGGGTCTTGACCCGATGGCAGATTCGATTGGGGGATGCAGGAGCAGTCAAGAGTGGAGGAGGATCCGCAGGTTCAAGTTCTC